GGTCTCACTCTGTGGCCCAGGCTGGACCACAGTGGCATGATCATAGCTCATCACAGCCTTGACCTCCTGGGCTCAGGTGATCCTCCCATCTCGCTTCCTGAGTAGCTGGGACTATAGATGCATGCCACCATGCCTAATTTTTTTATTGTTATTTTTTTATGTGTGGAGATGAGGTCTTGCTATGCTGCCCAGGCTGGTCTCAAACTCCTGGCCTCAAGTGATCCTCCTGCCTTGCCCTCCCACAGTGTTGGGGTAATAGGCGTGAGCCACCACATCCAGCCTGAACTTCATTTCATAGACAGTCACCACTCTAAGTGGAACTGTTGTTATTCTTGCAGTGTGTTTTAAGGTCCCAGAAAAAGAAGGTTTATGAGTGACTGACTGATGAGTTAAGTTTTCTCTTTACACTGCTGCTCCGCAGCTATGTTCTAGGCGCAGGTCAATGGGTTTTCCTACTGGAGTACTAGTAGTACAATGGTTGGTATGTCTCCTCCATCTTCAAGCTTGAAGTTCCTGGACTCCTGCCAAGGCACTTGTTTACACTGTTATCTTCCCCATCCATATCTCTGTGGATAGAGAGAGCTAACTTTTCCCATTGACTGAAAACGAAGCCCACAGTTGTACAACTATTGTAATAGTGGAGTTAACCCAGGTCTGTCTAAATCAATCGACCTACCTACCTTCTTTTATGAAATATTTCACACATACAGAAAATAGCACAGAGATCAAGTGAAGTGGCTCACACAGTAATCTATGCATTTTAGGAGGCGGGAGTGAGAGGATTGCTTGAGCCCAGGAGTGCAAGACCAGCCTGGGCAATATAGCAAACCCTCATCTCTACAAAAAAATAAAAATAAAATTTATATATTAAAAAAGCAAGCCAAGCTCGGTGGCTCAGCCTGTAATCCCGCGCCTTTGGGATCCTGAGGTGAGTGGATTGCCTGAGCCCGTGGGTTTGAGACCCGCCTGGGCAACTTGGCGAGACCTAATCTCTACAATAAATCAAGAATTAGCCGGGCATGGTAGCACGCGCCTGTAGTTCCAGCTACTTGGAAGGCTGAGGCGGAAGGATTGCCGGAGCCCAGCAGGTCGAGGCTGCCGTGGCCGGGAGCGGCCACTGCACTCCAATCTGGGCGACAGAGTGAGACTCCAACTCAAAAAAAAAAAGCAAAATTGAGAACAACATAAAGAATACCCAGTTACCCACTATCCATCTTAAAACAGAAAAACAAATCCAGTCATTTGCCTGTATCATAGAAAGGCTATTTGGAAATCCTTAGGAAAGTCCTTATACTGGATAGTACTTTAAATAACTTGATTATATGCCAAATACTCTGGCAGATGGTGTCAGGAATGCAGAGATGTGGACCTCGCTGTAGGGCAGAAGCTCATAGCATAGTAAGTTGAATGTTTTGGAACTTTGATAGGTATTTCTGTAAAAGCTGACCCATTCACATTGGGCTGGTGTTGCATGACAGTAGAAATTAGAGCTGACTTAAAATAAGTGAAATCAAAGAAACCCTGACTTCCATAAAGAAAGGGAGGATATTCCCTTTAAAAAAAAAAAATCCAGACTGCTCTTCAGTGGCATGGAAGAGAATAACGTAAAGTTATGTTTTTAAAAATGTATTTTTAAATGTTGTTCGAGACAACCTAGTCTAACTTTAGACTTGATAGAAATCTTGCTCTGTTATTGGTGTGATTGCTCCAAAGCAAACATGTGTGAGAATGAAAAATACCAATTTGATATTAACAGATCACTTTTGAATATGAGAAAAGCCTCAGTAATAGAAATGCCTTAACAACAACAAGGCATTTTAAGAGCCGCTGATGCATGGGGTCCAGTATAAGTAACTATAGTGTCATTACCCACAGGCCTGGACTTGGCCTTTGGTTTTCTTGGGACTCAAGAGGCAACTTCCAGCAGATGCATCCAAAAGCATTCCAGAACACAGGGAAACTTGGAGGCAAGGGCTAAAGTCAGGATTACTAATTGCACTCCAAACTCAAGTCAGTGCTGGCTGCTGAAGCCAGGGCTTCCAGTCTTAGGTTTTACAGCAAGGCTCAAGTTTCATCATGAATTTAAACAGTGGAGCACCTGTCTCCAGGGACAGGGATAAAAGATTTATGCAGCTAGAAAAAGAAAGCTTGCAAAATATGTCCTATTGTTACAAGATGTTGACCCTACGTGGATGCCTTCACAGTGAGCTTGGTAACATCTGTGGGCCCTTGGAATGTCTTTGTTACTATCTGGATAAGAGAAGTAGGCTTGGTGCAAATTCAGACTGACAGTTTCATGATAACAAGTCATATCTGTGTCTGTATGTGTGTATGTGTTGTTTGTTTCATGGAATAGGAGCTCCAGTTCCAAATGACTTAAAAAAGGGAATTTATTGACTCACAGAACTGAGGCATGCAGGATAAGGTGAGGCACAGCTGATTCCAGGGACTCAGAGACTCTAAGCTGTCTCTCTGTTTTCCTCTGTGCTAACTGCATTTTTAGGTTCTTTTATAGTGGCTAGACAGCTGTTAGCACCTCTACTCCTGAATTCACACAGTACTAAACCACAGCCCTGGGTTCAACTTTCATTGAACTGGATTGGGTCATTCCTAAACCACTAACTGTGGTGAGAAGCGGAATGCAGTGATCTGATTGGCCATGACTGAATCACATGCCCATCGGAGTCAAGGTTGCTCTGCTTTGAGTAGTTTTGTCTCCTCCAAAACTCATGCTGAAACTTAATCCCCAGTGCAACAGTGGTAGATGGTGGGGCCTAATGGGGGGTATCTAGGACATGAGGGCTGCCCCTCATGAATGGATTATGCCACATAGAGAAGGCTTGTGGGAATAAGTTTGCTGTCCCCATTCTCCTGCCAGGTAAGGGACTGTGTTTCTCCCCTGTGGAGGATGCTTCATACTTACCAGGCACCATCTTGAAAGCAGAGACCAGGCCCTTAGCAGACACCAAACCTGCTGGTGCCTCGATCCTGGACTTCCCAGCCTCTGGATTCGTGAGAAATAAATTTCTGTTCTTTATAAATTGCCCAGTCTCTGGTATTCTGTTCTAGCAGCACAAAGCAGACTAAGACAGGGTTAGAGTTAATACCATCTAAACCAGTGCCTTTTACACTTATCTCTGAGAAAATACTTTTTTTTTTTTTTTTTTGAGTTGGAGTCTCACTCTGTCGCCCAGACTGGAGTGCAGTGGCCGCTCCCGGCCACCGCAGCCTCGACCTGCTGGGCTCCGACAATCCTTCCGCCTCAGCCTTCCAAGTAGCCGGAATTACAGGCACGCGCTACCATGCCCGGCTGATTTTTTGATTTATTGTAGAGATGAGGTCTCGCTGCCCAGGCGGGTCTCGAATCCGCGGGCTCAGGCAATCCACTCACCTCAGCCTCCCAAAGGCGCGGGATTACAGGCTGAGCCACCGAGCCCGGCGAAAATACTTTTTTTAACTTCCAAGTACAGGCAGATTTTCTGACTCTGTTCAACAAAATGAGCTCACTGATCATGCTCTTTCCTGGCTCTTGTGCCATAAAATTGTTTAAAAGTTTCTAAATGCTTACCAGCATTTTGTCTTGAATTGGAAACAAGCATGGTGGGCCATCACCAGGGACCACATTTTAATAAGTGCTTCTCTAAACCACATGGTCTAAGAGACTGTTGCCTCTCTGGAAGCAGGGTGGAATTACCAGAAGACAAGCAAGAGCATGCTGCGCATCAGGAAGATGCCACCACAGTGATGAATTCCTTAACTGTTTCTTTTGGAAAGGCCTCATCTTAGCATTCAGGACATTGTTGGGCTCTGGACTGTCTTCATGGGGCAGGATGGGAATTTACCACCAATTTTTGTATTTTAAGGGTTGAAGAGTATTTTTTCTGCTTAGGAGCTCTCCTCTTCCCATCTTTTTCTAGCCAGGTTGGGTTAGTAAGGAGATCTTGGCTTTTTTAACCACCTGTTTTCTAGAGAGTCAAGCTGCTCATCCAAGAAAACTTAACAGGAAGCGCTGCCAATACCGTTCTCCAGAAGGAAGTCTGAAAAGGGTAGTGGGAAAGAGAAATTAATGTGCTGTGTTTTTAGAGTCCGCTTGGGGACAGGGCAGACATAACATGCCTTCTGAGCAGAACCGCTTTTTGTACTGGTTAAGGCACTTGAGGAAGCTGTCTGTCAGAACCAGGCATTTGAAGCTGACCCATCTGCTGAAAGCGTCGGCCCTGCATTACAGGGAGGTAGCTGGGACTCCAACTTCAGCGCTCTGGTCGCTGGGTTAGGCCACGTTCAGAGGTGAGTACGGCAAGATCAGCAAACAGCTCACATCACCCAGAGGGGGATCGGTAGTAGATTCTGCACAGCCTGAGGGACCGTCAAAGGGAAGCCCAACTGCTGGCTGGACTAGTGGGCCTTGGGGTCAGTGGAGCATAGAAGCAGATCTGAGCCATCTCCACGGACGTTTGTTGTGACAGCCAGGCTCGGTTCACAGAGTTGTGCTGGTCCCAGACCCATTCCTTGACGCTCTAATCGCGTGTCATTTCTTCAGCTGGCAAATAGGAAGCTTGTTCCTGCAGGGTGGCACCCTTTCTTCTTCCCTAGAAAGTGCGTCGCAGTTTGTGTAATATGAAGAATCTGGTGGTGTTGCGATGAGTTAAACGTGTAATTAGAACCCCCACCCGTGATCGATCTTCAGCTGGGAGTTTTTTTTTTTAAGTTCATTCAAGACTGGGGCAGCGGGGAGGAGCCGGGCTGGCTTTCCACTCTCCAAGCTTTTTATCCCCTGGGGATTCTGGTGGCATCGCTGTGTTGTGCCTAGTGACCTGTACCGTCCTACGAATGCGGGTCCTTTTCTGGTGGGAAATAAAAACACTTGAGCGAGTCCTAATGAAGCGCGGACCTCGAGAGTCAAGGTTCCCCTGGAAGAGCTCTGACCTCGGAGCCTTGTGGTCAGAGTGAAGACCCAGACCTGCTGCTGACCGGGAGCCTGACAGTCCTTTACTCTGCAGGATGCCTGTCTGGGGAGGTGGCAACAAGTGCGGGGCCTGCGGGCGGACGGTGTACCACGCCGAGGAGGTGCAGTGCGATGGCCGCAGCTTCCACCGCTGCTGCTTCCTGTGCAGTAAGTAGCGCCCCTGCGCGGCCGCGGGCGGGACTAGAAAAGCTCCAGGTTCACGTGCAAGGTTACGCCAACAGAGATGGTTTTGGAAGCGGGAGTGGGATTCACCTGTCTGCCCTCTTAGACGTAAGTGGCGAGCCCAGCAGCAGAGATAGGAGGGCTGGCCCAAGACACCGGCCGCCGTCTGTGTCCCCCATAGCTCTCGGCCTCCATTTTGGCCTTCTGGCCTTTGTTACCACATCTGCCTCCCCTGCCTCACCGAAAGCTTGGTGTTATTTAATGTAGTTGGCCCCTGGCACGGTTTCTGGCACATTGTAAGGGCCTGGCTCCGATTTTTCAGTGAATGAATTGCTTCTCATCCACCCCAACTTTCTGTTTATGGTTGGGCTCCTTCTTTTTGAAGCCTTGCTGGTTTCTAACCACACTGATACTTGAAATTCAAATATCTAGAAGCTCAATTTCTGAAGGTGCTCAAATTCTGTTTTCTCTGGTAGCAAATGTTCAGAGTTATTCCTGGTTATTGATAGTCTAAATTTGAGGGGAAGGAATGTAGGATGTGAATATTTCATTGTGGCAAATTGGGAATTATTGTTGTTATAGATGGAAAATTATCAGTGTCTGCTGTAGACAGGAAGTGGGACATAAAGTGACACATGCCTGAGTGCTGTAAAGACAGTAGATACCTGATAATGAGAGAAATGGAACAAGAGAGAAGTGCTTCCATCCACACATTCTCTCACATGACAACCACATCTTCAGTTTTCAAGCACTGGAGTAGCAGCTTAAGGGAGCTCTTCATTGATCATCTTCTGATTGGAATGACCAAGTGGTCCTTAATAAAGGATTTGTTACATCACAGAACCCACCCATATGTGCAGGCATTTGCCTTATATATGGGATTGTAAAGTGAAAAGTAGTGTAGGAAATCCTATGTCAAAAATAAATTTGGTTACATGAAGAAATAGTCTTCAGAAAAACTTCTTCTTCCAGTCTGAATCATCCTTTTCCCTCCAGGAGCCAGCATCCCAGGGGTCTGGAGCTCTCAAGGTGCAGTTACAAAAAAAAAAAAAGCTACTACATATTAATATGACTGTTTGCTGTGTATGTCTCCAAAAGAGCTACAGTTACTTAACCAATTTTTTAGAAGTTACATTTTTTTTTATTAAGAAACCTGTCTTTCAGCAGGGTTTGTAACCAAGAAAATATAAAACAAAGCTAAAAATGCAAGTCCCTTAGAAATTGTTCTGTTTCATCTATCAAGGTTAAACCATGATGCCTACACTGTAGTAAAGTCAAGTTCTGAATGTCAAGTTCTTCACTGGTCATTTTTACTAACCCTTCCTAATGTTTGTCTCTGCTGACCAGAGCCTTTCAAAGAAATAATTCAGAGAGGCCTGCAGACCTGTAAGAATGGGATGGGGACTGGGGAAGAGAGCAGTGCTTATGTAGCAACATTTCATACACTTGAACTTACTTTGGTCTTTGGTTGATACGGGCTTTTCAAAACAGTTTTATATTTATTATGCTCATTAGCGGCAGTTGCCCTTTGGCAGCATATGGTTTGAGGTTATTTAGCAAATATATTTCAAGACTTGAGCCTTAACAGTTAGGTTTCTGGATAGATGTCATCTTATTCTACCCACAGAAGACTTTAGTCTAAGATAATAGAACCTTCATAATTTATTTTAAGCTATTTTGTCCTTCCTGTTGTCCTCCTTCCCTCCCTGTTTCTCCCTCTCTCTTTTAAACATGGGAGGAATTCCCTGGTCAACTATTCTGATCTTTCATTACCAGCTGCCAGATTGTGCTACCAGTGAGTTCCCTCACAATTTACTTTTTCTCAAGCTTAATTGAAGTTTTAGAAATTGAAATAATGTCTGGATAAAGCATGATGACATTTGGCAGTTTTATGAAGTGGGATACGTGGAAATGTCTTGTGGCGAGAAATCCATCAAGAAGGAATGTATGCTCCTTCGGGACAGAGGGAAAACAAATGTAGACGATAAACCATTGACGATCTTCAGGCGCATTATCACTGCTCGAGAAGCCCGTGGTGAGCTGAAAGAGTAATACTCTTATTCTAGTCTCATGCTGAAAACTAGAATTCTGGATTTACAGCTGTTTTCACCTCAGGGAGTGCTTTCGGGGAGGAAGAGTTACAGAGGCAGCTCCCCTGAGACTGGAGCTACTCCTTTGTTCTTTGTCAGATTGAGGCCTAGGGATACTTGGTATGAAGAGGCTGAAAAGGGTAAGAGTGTTGACGCCTAGCTCTGTTGTTTTTATTCCTTTGGTTCTTGTGATTATCGACATCCCTGAAACTTCTCTCCCTTCTACGGGGGCAGGAAATCACATGAAAAGTTTGAGGCTTCTGGCTGTTAAGATTCAGGTCCACTTCTGTCGTAGCTAGCACACTCCTAGGGATGTAAGAAGTCCTCGAGTGCAGCTGACCAGTCCAGAGGCTGTCTCGTGGCTTTTGGGAAACCGCAGGATGAACTAGGAATGTGAGAGCCTCTGCCGCTACCATTTGTATACCATGTGTCTGCGCCACTATGGTGCTAAGGACAAAGGCATCTGGGGAACACGTTGAAAGTCTAACTTTTTTTTCCCTCTAGTGGTTTGCAGGAAAAATTTAGATAGCACCACGGTGGCAATTCACGACGAGGAGATTTACTGCAAATCCTGCTACGGAAAGAAGTACGGGCCAAAAGGCTACGGGTACGGCCAGGGCGCCGGCACGCTCAACATGGACCGTGGCGAGAGGCTGGGCATCAAGCCAGAGAGGTGAGGGGCGACACTGCTGGCTGCCTGCGGAGATGAGCCACAGCCGCTCTTGTTGCTTGGTGAATGGGAACCCGGGAGTGTCCAGGTTTCCAGTTGAAACAAAGCAAACAAAATGCACCTTGGGTTTTCTGATGTAAACTCGTGACTCTTCTTTAAGTTCAAACTATTGGCAGTTTTGGACCTGACAAAGTTCTTACTAATTATTCCAGGGATTCCTAGTTTTGGTTTTATAGCCTTCCAAGGCTAGAAAAGGCTTATATTCCTTCCAATCAAGGAATCATGATTTAAACTTCCATTTCACAGCACTTTGGAGACCAGATGTCATGAAATGAAATGTGGTGTCTGAATCATGAGAGGCGTTGCTCACGTGAGATTTCAGTCAATGAAAATTCCTCAGTCACTCCTTCCTTGTAAGCTTTCTTCCTCATCAAGAACTTACTTTTTGGCTGGCGTGGTGGCTCACACCTATAATCCCAGCACTGTGGGGGGCTGAGGTGGGAGGATTGCTTGAGCCCATAAGTTCTAGACCAGCCTAGGCAACATAGTGAGACATTTCTCTACAAAAAAAATCAGCCAGACATGACATGCACACTAGTGCACCTGTAGTTCTAGCTACTCAGGAGGCTGAGGTGGAAGGATCACCTGAGCCCAAGAGGTTGAGGCAGTGGTGAGCCATGATCATGCTACTGCACTCCAGTCTGGGTGACAGAATGAGACCCTGACAGACACTAAAAAAAAAAAAAGGTACTTTTCTCTAACTTAAAAATGAAATTATTTCCTGTTTTCGATTCTTTGAGACTAAACTTTAAAAACTTTGGTACCAAAGCATGAAGGTGCTAAACCTATTCAAGTTTACCTAGTATCTTATATTCAAGCTAGAATAACTTCATTAAAAATTGCCTCCTAATTCCTATTTTTATCTCATTAATCCTTTAATTGAACTTTACATTTCCCACATCTATTTTATATTTAAGAAGCCAAAATTGGTGTAATACTCCAATTAAATGGCCTTTCCTTAGACAAGACCCTAAATTGTGCCAGATACCATGCAGTATTAACATACTTGTGCAATCCTCACAATAATCCTACAAAATAGGGTTTCTTCCTTTACTTGAGAACAAACGGAGACAAGAATAATTAAGTAATTTGCCTAAGCTACACTGTTAGTTCATTGCGGATCCTGGAACCTAACCTAGTCTAGTTCTAAAACTTGTGATCTGAAACCCTGTGTTTAGCTTGGCTGAAATAGGACCGTGTGTTGGGTACCTGTTGTCTGCTGTTATCTCCGTTCTCTGGAATCCTCAAAATAACTCTGAGGTGTACGTGAAGACACAGGGTCCGGGCACACCGATGAGGGGGACCGATGTCCATTTGGTTCCAAAGCCTGTGCTCTTTCCCCTGCAGTAGGCTCTCCTCTGTTCCAGTTTCTGGGCTGTGGTGCCTTGTGCACTGCTGTACGAGGACCCACGCAGCCTTGACTGTCCCTCATAGAAGCCCAGCCTACCTTTTGGTCTTTGTTAGAATTTCTTGTATCTGTTCTGCTCTCCTTTTCCAACCTGTTAAATTTGTTGTTTCTGTAGGTTTTACTTCAAACCTTTCAAATCTCATGTAGTTATACATACCCCGTCCCTCAATCAAAACCAAATTCATCTATGACCCCAAAAGTAAGTTAGTGATTGTGGCCATCGTTTTACAGTTTTAAAGACCAGTGGGCCCTCCTCTTACCTATTCAGGTTTCTCCACCCACCCCAGTCATCAGCAGGCCCGCCATGCTGGCCTGTCTCAATCTGTGACCTTGCCTGTTCCCTTTCTTAGCCTGGTCACACGATATTCATCCTCCAGGAACAGGTTTAGGGACTTCCTTTCCCAAGAGGCCATTTTTTAAAAAGTTAATTTTGACATATAAAATTCCAAGTATTTATCCTATATAGCATGTTTTGCACTATATATACATTGTAAAATGGTTAAGTCGAGCTAATCTACCAATGCATTACCTCACATCGTCTTCATTTTTGTTGTGAAAACACTTAATATCCACTCTTTTAGCATTTTTCAAGAAACAACATATCACTATTAACTATGGTCACCATACTATACGGTAAAACTCTCCAGGAATATTTTCATTGAGGCCAACCTGCATTTTTCAGTTTGGGCTCACCGATCTACTAATTCTCTTTATTAATACTTCTGCTTCAGCAAGTATTTAACATCTGAGCTCCCATTTCTTCATCTACAGTATGAGGTCACAATTACGCACACCCTATGAAGTTGTCAGAAGGCAGGTGAGAGATGATCTGTGTGAAAATCTTAGTAACATGACTGACAGATTTGGAAATTTTCCTGGGGAATTTCATAACTCCAAGTGCTAGATATCATTGTGAACAACTGGCACTTGCTGAATGTTGTCATTATGTCCTATCTGCTCAACTAATTTTAAGGATCTGAACTAATTTAAGGTGTTACATGTTCTCAAAACCCAGAGGGTGTTCTGCACATAGTCAGTACACCTACTTTTTGAATGGAGAAAATAGTTTACCCAGTGACCTGCAAATAGGGACAAAAATACAACCCTATGCAGAGAAAAAGTAAAGATAAACAGATCACATAATAATAGGCAAGTTTTCTAAGTAGGTTAGTCACACTTTTCCCTATTTAAGATATACTGGAAAACTAAGTAATCTGTAAAACATGCTTAACTTTGTTATAGACTACTGAATGGACCTATTTGCAGAATAGGTCTTTTTAGCTGCTTGATATTGATTTTTCAGTCTCCTGTGAACTAAAAGAGATATAGATAGATAGATAGATAGATAGATAGATAGATAGATAGATACACATGCTATGGCAGATTTTTATAAACCCTAACATAATTGCTTAAGTGGAGAGGTAGCACTAGGGATTAAATGAAGTCTCTTTAGACTCAGAGACAGATATTTAAATTTGAGGTTTTGTCTGTTTTTTTGTAATAATTTATTATTATAATAACCATAAGTAGGTTAAAGTACTCATTGGCCAGCACCCGAGATTAATTTCTTTATTCTTTCCCTGTCACTGGTCTAAAGGAGCCTCCAGCCTTGAGACATCCTAGCATTTAAGTCCTACAGTTGCATCATTCCTGCCTTGTGGACTTACGAGGGCCCCGTGGAATATCTAGCCTAATTATTTTTTTTCTGTCCACAAGTGTTCAACCTCACAGGCCCACAACAAACCCCAATACATCTAAATTTGCCCAGAAATTTGGAGGTGCTGAGAAGTGTTCCCGGTGTGGGGATTCCGTGTATGCTGCCGAGAAGATCATTGGAGCTGGGAAGGTAAGTGTTGTTTTTAATAAATAGCAGCAAGTGACTCCTCCCTGCTCTCCTTCTCCCCCAATCCTTCCCCATCCCTCGCTCACGGGCTGCATCTTACAATAAATGCCTTGTATTCAATTTTTTTAAAAAGCATTATTTCCATCCAAATCATTAATTTTTTGAAGGGATGCCCTTATTTGACAAATCACTTCATGTTTAAAAGAAAACATTTTATTTTCATCAGGTGCAGTGGCTAAAGCCTGTAATCCCAGCATTTTGGGAGGCGTGAGACAAGAAGACAACCTGAACCCATGGGTTCGAGACCAGCCTGGGCTGGTCAAGAAAAATTAGCTGGGTGTGGTGGCAAGTGCCTGTATTTCCAACTACTTGGAAGGCTGTGCCTAAGCCTACAGGTCGAGGCTGCGGTGGCCGTGAGCGTGCCACTGCACTCCAGCCTGGGTGACAGAGTGAGACTCCAACTCAAAAAAAATTTTTTTTTAAATAAATTTATTTTCATAGAGGGCGCTCTGAAGGTTAATTTTAAAAGGTGAGACCGTTAACAAACTGGAATCTGCAAGTTATTTATTCAATGTAGTGAAGAAACAGTAGTCAGAGTTAGGACACCTGTTAATTAGGTGCATGAATTTGGAAAAGTTACCACTTAACTTCCTCTAGCCGCGGTGTTCTCTGCCGGAAAAGGAGGCAGTCAGTCTGGGCTTGTGGAAAGGTCTGAGACTGCTTTTGGGGAAATAGCCCTTTTGTAGGGGAACAGGAATCCTGAGGAGGACCCGTGTCAGCCATCTTCGCAAGTTCCTACTTACCACAGAGCTAAATCGAACTGCAGGAATCAGGCCTCTCATTTGCTAACACATTTGTCTCTTTCAGCCCTGGCACAAAAATTGCTTCCGGTGTGCGAAGTGTGGGAAGAGTCTTGAATCAACAACTCTGACTGAGAAAGAAGGTGAAATCTATTGTAAAGGTAAAATTAATTTCAATTACTACTCTCCATATAACTATAAATATTCCACACTGGCTAATACTTAATGAAGTGTCACCCTCATTTTTAAAAAGAACAAGAGAATAGGGAAAAAGAGGTGTCACTATTTTAAAATAAAAGATCCAGAGATGCTTACAGCTGACAGAGAACCCCAGATAACCTTAAGTTCTCATCACTTAGAACTCCTCCACAAATAAACACAAGTAGTCATCTTTCATGTTTTGAGCAAAGCATACCGTTTTAGGAAGGTAATAGATAATACATAACTTACCTGGGCTGACTTCCATGCTTGCAACTCAGCAGAGCCAAGCTGAACACTGGAACTACAATGCTCAGACTAGCATTCACAGCTTTAAACAGCTTTACTATGTGGCATGTTTTACATCTTATATGTCAATCTCTGACAAAGCCAACAGTGTGTTTTTTAACGTACGAGAGTCTGCTGAGTGAGTCTTAAGCAATGCCACCAGGGCTGAATGGACTTGCACTAACTCTCCCTTCTCTTGTAGGATGCTACGCAAAGAACTTTGGGCCCAAGGGATTTGGCTATGGCCAAGGAGCAGGAGCTCTTGTTCACGCCCAGTAAAGGTGTAGACACAAACTCAGCACCACACCCTGAGGATCTCTTCCTAACATAGGCACCAGATAACCCTGTAACACTAAACTACTGTGAACTTCTGCCAGCACTAAGTACTGTATATTACCCTGTACTTGGATAGGCTGGCTAACTTGTAGGAAGAAAGAAAGCACCGTGTCCTTTTGTTTTATTCACCATCCTTTTCAAGAACATCTCTTTTACATGTTAAATAAAACTTCAGCTTGATCTGGGTGCTCATTGTCTTTTAAGTAACCTTTTGGAAGAGCTACTGCGATTTTTTCAGTTAGTGGAAAATCGTTTGGGTCCGTACCTGTATTTTATTTGTTAAAGAGAGTCAACCCCATTACCCCATTGACTCACTAGGTTAATGTTTGAATTACAGATGTTGAGAAGGATCTCTCTTAAGCTGGCAAGTGCGCCTCAAGAATGAGGGTTGCTAGGCAACAGGCACCAACATTTCAGCTCAAGCTGGTGCTCTGCAGCGCATCTCCCACCACCCCAGTAGTCTAAGTTCTTTTGATTCTCTACACCTAAAACCGCTACAAACACCTATAGACAATTACAGAATCTGGGGTTAGCATGACTCTTTTGAGACTCTCCATTCTTATGATACTGACTTACTAAAGTAGGGTATTTTTACATATTTCAATTCTGCATAAGTAGTAAAGAATGTTGCATGGTCTGGGCACATTCACTGGCTCAGGTAAAAAAGGAGCACTGGACTACATAAAGTATGGTCTCATTAACCCTCCCAGAAGATTTAGTTCTTTACCGGAGATTCAACACACCCTTTTTCCTAGGGATATGGGGCACAATAGATCTGTAATGTATATTAATAAAATTGAATCAGCCTTGATCTGTGAACACCTCTTAACCTTTTCTAGGGCCCATTATTTTGAAAAGCTAAAGGGGGTATGATATATATGACGTAAAAGCAACAAGCAGCAATGTAGTGGGAGGAAGTTGAGAGTGTCCTGGATGCTTATTTCACATCATAGCCTTGCACAGCTTCAGGTGTAAAGGATACCAGTTCCACTGTGGTAGAGGGCTTTAGTTAAGCAGGCTGGGGAATAGTTAATTGGCAATAAAAAGTTGATTAGGACAGCTATTAACTCCTGCTTTTATGTGTGGTCCACAAATTCTTTGACATTTCCATCAAATGATGGAGTCTAGTTTCCCTCCCCTGACTAAAGGCCAACCTTAGTGACTCATTTTTGGCTAACAGAATATTTTGGACCTGGTTAGAGGGCTAGGTTAGAGGAGACAGTACTGCTTTTGCCTGCCTTTCTCTTGGGATGCTTACTCTTGGAACTCAGCCACATGCTCTGAGGAAGCCCTGACTACAGGGGGTGGGTAGGCCACATATGGACATTACAGCTGTAGTTTTAGCTGGGACCCCACTCAGCCAACATCAACCATCAGACGTGCAAGTGAGAAAGCCTCCAGGTTATTCTAGTCCCCAGCCTCTGAACCCTCCCAGCTGATACCCATGTGGAGCTAAGTGAGCCATTCCTGTTGAGCCCTGACCACACGGCAGATCTGTGTACAAAAATATTTTCGGAGCCAGGCTCGGTGGCTCAGCCCGTAATCCCGCGCCTTTGGGAGGCTGAAGTGAGTGGATTGCCTGAGCCCGCAGGTTCGAGACCCGCCCG